AATGAAATAAAAGAGATAAAAGAGAAACTCCACCGCTGAGAGAGAGAGAGAGAGAGAGAGAGAGAGATAGAGAGAGAGAGAGAGAGATACACTGATAACATGCAGAGACATGAGGCTGCACAGAATGTAGAAAGAGCCCCAAGACTATAGAGAGGAAGGACAGACGACTGCAGTGAGAGCACCAGGGAACTGAATTACCTGTGGAGGAACTGAGAAAGAAAGAAAAGAGGACGTCTAAACTTTGCTTTCACTTGTAGCTGTTTCAGCCACTGGAAGTATAAGAAGGTAAGACCCGTTTCCTGCTTTCTGATAATATCTGAGTCTGTTTGAAGATCACTGTTAATTATTATCACTGTGTGATTACAGCCAGAGAGATATAAAGACACACTCATGGATATTAAGAAATTAGGCCAACTAAATAAGCTATATTTTATTCACTGAATATCTATATAGCCTACCGTATCTGTTTTTTTATGTGTACAATACAACGTTTACATTTATGCATTTAGTAGATGCTTTATGCAGATCATTCGAGGTGTACATTTTGCCTGCATGCGTGTTCACAGGGAACCGAAGCTATGAGCATGATGTTGCATGATCTGAGCTGCAATGAATTGTAGTAGTAGTATATGGTTTTTAGCTAAAGTACACATTATTATTTAGTTTTTTTTTTTTTTAAGTGGTGCTCAAGAAATGTTTAAGGTATTATGTATGATATGTTGGCTCACTGTCATCTGGAAAGAAATAAGGAAATAGGATGTCCAAATTTGCCCAACTTTCCAAGCAGCTGTTAAACCTGCTAAATGTGGGGGACCAGCCAGTGACCACTTCTTAAAAATAAAGGCTCTTTATTGGTATTAGTGGTCACATGAAAAACATTTTACACCCATAACACTTTTCCATTGCACACAAGCCTCTTTAAAGTTGAAAAAGGTTATTCAGGTTATTCTTATTATTCATTTTTTAATGTTCTCTCAACTTTGATCCAACAAACGTTAGTTTCAACCTAATCGAAAACACCTGAACAAGCCATTCGAGATCTTCAGGATTACTAGAGAGTTTCAGGCAGGTCTGGTCTCGCTATCAGGAAGCAGGTTTTATGTGGAAAAACTTGTTACAGAAATGCCAACTTCTGTCCCGTTTTCCCATGGAACTGAATGTAAATAAATGACTTGCTGTATATGGTCACAGAATAGTGTTGTAGCAAACGGTGATACAATTTTCAGACTTTTCTCCAACAAAGTTGTTTTGAAATACAAACAACCTAACACTAAAAAAATTAGTTTACATTTTATACAATAATTTATTTGTTAATCACATTTACTTTCTACTTTAACTTTTTAAAGACACAATTTAGACACTTTGTGTGTCACAAATGGCTTTTACACTGAAGTTTTCCCATTTTCTTTATTTGTTGCTATGTTACGTCCCTCCTCGTCTGCTCGGACATTATATTTTAGCATTTTTATTTTTCACATTCTTCACAAGTTTTGAGTAATAATTGGTGATTTAATGTTTTATATCGACTTGACCAAGAGAATCTGCTTTTGACGATGCACTTTTTCTTGTCATTTAATATGCCAAACAAATTATAACCCAAAATTAATTGTGAAAAGTTAATTTTTCTACTTCAAACATTTTTTATAATTCTATAAAAACTTTATATTTATACAAAGAGACTTACAGCTTGTAGTGTTATATCTTGTATGATAATTATTCATCCCTGTATCTCATTTCTGATTTGTTAAACTGACAGCATTATGGCCTCCTGAAATGAGATGATATAAAAAAAAAATGAAAACGTGTCTCCCTCACCCTCATGTTGTTCCAGATTGACTGACTTCCCTCTGAGGAACACAATGGAAATCCATTATCTTGATTCAAACTGTGGTTTCTCACAAAACAAAAGCTGCTTTCGAGTTCCAGAAAAGTCCAAAACTACCATAAACAAGTGGTTTTCAATTCTGGTCAGACAGGCGTAGCTCAATTCATGGAGCTGTCACTTAATTAGCTGAATCTGAAGCAGGCGAGTCAAATAATGAAGACCTGCAGAAGATGCAATGCTGCACGGATCCTCAGAATTAAAAGCCGCTGCCATCATAAAAGTCCAAAAACAGTAGCACATATGAGTTGTGCACTCTATTCTGAGTCTTCTACACTGTAAAAAAAATTCGTAACATTGACGGTAAAAAAACGGCAGCTGTGGTTGCCGGAATTTTACCGTAAAAAATAAGGTAGCAACGTTTTAGGTTTTACGGTTTTAACTTAAATTTACAGTTAAATACCGTAATTTCATTAACTGATATAATGTTAATATACCAACCTATTGAAGTACTGAAATCTGTTTTGTAGCTTTGTAATACACTGATAACCACCAAATGCAGGAGGTGATGAGAAAGTCACATGATGAACCAAAGCCCATCACAAGCAGCTTTTAAATAATAACATATATAGAAGGTGCACACAGTGTTATTCACACAAACACTAAACACCATCACGGTGACACACAGGAAACTGAAATAATGCAATAAACATTCATTTAACAACATTAGGTGTAACACACAACCCTAATATACAAAACTGATAAGAAAAAACTAAGACGAAACATAGTTATTTCAACAAAAAACATCAAATTTTAAATGTAACGCAGGGACTATTCACTTTAAATTATACGGTATTTTTCACTTCCAAAAACGGTATACTACCGTAAAATTAATGTCCAATACATGTAATGTCCAATACAGTTTTTCACCATATATAGTAGGGGAATTTACCATTAAACCATTTAACAGGTTTTTACTGTAGCATTTTTACAATCTTTTACCGTTAAATTCACGGTCACTTTTTACAAGTCATATATTAGTTTTGAGACTGAAGGTGTTGTCTTATTGTATGCTGAATGTCTAGTAGCTGATTATGATGTGTCTGAATATGCAAAAATATGAGATTTGAAGGCCACAGCAACATAAAAAAAGCAACATATGAATAGCTTTCAACTATTCACCTTTAGAAAGTCTTACTGATTTGAGTAACTGATGACAGCTTTTTTCATTTCAGGGTGAACTGTCGCTTTGATGATTGAAATCATTATACTCATATGTATCTGACCACATAAAGAGTCGCAACATTAATGGCTAGACTAGACAGCTCATCAGTGACTGATGATTAAATCCAAGCAGCCATGTGACAAACAGCTAATGTAAAGGTCAGGAGGAAATGAAGTCTGCTTTCACAAGCATCACTTCGAAGACTCATGGCAGAAATACAGCTATCAGCCCATGGTTTTGTGCTCCAGCTTCACGTTTGAAGTGGGTACTGAAGCAGGAATTCAGTGACTGATGGAAAAGCCTGATGTGGTCTGGTGTAGAGATAAACGGTTAGCCTCGTGAATGTCATCTGTCGATAGTTTCGCAACTTTAAACACACCTGAATCTGTTTCTCAGGATCTTTCAAACCTTCTGACCTGCAGACGTCAGTTCAGTTTTGACAAAATAGAAACTTTGAAATAGAGCCCATACGTATCAAATCAAGTCAAATACATGTATATTAATGTTATTTAATGGAAGATTTGAAATGCATATTGGAGAAGCGTCGTGATGTGCTTATTGCACAGGACTGCGTTTCCCAAAAAGCATCCTAAACCTAAATTAATCCTAGCTTCATTTGTGATAATTGTTTTACGATCAACTTAGGCTTACGATGCATTTGGGAAACGCCCAGGTCAGCACATCCCATAACTCCTTTTTATTTCATAACTTTGAGGACTTTACTATTACTAATGATGTTGCGTAAAAAAACAAAGGAAATGTGAAAATATAATTTCTTTATGTTTTTTTAGTTCTTTCTTTCTTATTCCTATAACTCCTTTCTGTGTTATTTCACAACTTTGATGACTGAACTATTACTAATAATGTTATGCAAAAATGAGGAAATATTATATATTTGCATTTCGTAGAAGTTTATTAATTTATAATAATTCATTTTATTATTCTAATATTAATATTGATATAATTATTACTATAATTTGTGTTGAAATAGAATATATCTTGTAATTAAAAGTGCTTAAAATATTATAAAATTTTTATAAGTCATTTTGAGAACTTTATTTTAGTGCATGATTTAATGTTCAGTAAGCCCTCTGAAATTATATCTCATCAAAAATACGCTTGGCCTTTGAACAATTCACAAAAACAATACCAGCCATTAGGAGAAACTATAACACCAACTAAAATCAAATGGATAAAATTGTGTGTTTGAAAGCTAGCTAGTCATTTTTATTGTGTTGCATCCTTGTTAGATGTCGACTGATAACATGCAGGTTTACAAAACCCCTGTCAGCATAAATCCTCACAAATCATTTCCTGTATTGACTTCCTGCAGTGATAAGCATGCAATGCTTTTGGGCAGTAGTGGGTCTTCATACAAACACTGGCAGCCTTCACATATTCATTGTTAATTCTTCAGATTCACTCTGCGTTTTCTAGACTTTCACTTTCCGTGTTCTGCGTCTCTTTTCTTTCCTCTCCCCGAGGGCCTCCAATGGACGCAGTGTTCTGGTCGTCTGTTTTCTTTCACTCGGTTGGTGCCTCTTGAACGGATGATTTGCGGTCATATTGAATTGTGGAGATCTGGCATGAGAAGATAACGATCACGTTACGCAGACTCCTGTAATCACTTGAGCAAACCGTTGTGTTTGTAATGCATCAGGGAGCCTGTCAGCGTCTGCCGTGTGCTAATGCCTTCACTAATGGACAGTAATTGGCTCTGTGGACATGATTTTTCCACTGGCCTTTTTGCCAGCCGCCGCTGAGACGTGCTGAGCCTACGACTCTCTGACCTGTGCTTCTGTCTGAAGACCACAAACGTCATTTACGGTGGCCTCCACCCTCTTTATGAGCATCTAATATCGAAAATAAATCCAAAATGCAAACAAATGTGTTTGCTCTTGATATACATCCACAGATGTTCGGCTGCCATTGTGGTTTATCAATAGCCTATTAAATGTTATATTAGGGCGGGTTATTAGAAGAACCTGGAACAACTTCAGCAACGGATCATATGCAACTTCATATGCAGCAAGAACATGCCATTTATTTTCTCCATAAAGAGTAGATATTTCTAACTTCTGTATAAACCTCTCAAGACAGACCAAACATGAACTCCGAGGTTCTTTGTTGCTGTGCTTCCATTGAACTTCAGATTAATAGTCAAATCAGTCTCATTATACTTTCAAACTACTTTTAAATTTGTGAACCCAGGTAAATAATGAATTCATCTTTTCTGTTTCTTATAGCATTATAGTTTTGTATTGTTTGTAGTGTGATCAGCGTTTGCGTAAGTAGTAGATGTGTTAGGGAAGTAACACGTAACATTTTAATTATATTTTGCTGAAATGAACGAAATGACTCGAAAAAAGATTCGTTCATTTTGCTGAACGAGACTCAAAGGTTCGAGTCGGTAAAATGATCCGAACTTCCCATCACTACTTTAAATTACCACATCAATCCACACCCCATACACCATAATTACAAAGCAAAAACAGAATTGTCACAACTCTGTTAATTTATGAAAATAATAATAAACTGAAATAAGTACATTGCATAAGTATTCAAACTTAATGCGGTACTTAGTTGAAGCACCTTTACAACCCCAAGTCTTTTTAGGTATGATGCAACAAGCTTTGCTCATCATCATTTGGCAATTATCTGCCATTCTTCGCCTCACCTCTTCACCTCTCAAGCTCTGTCAGGTTGGATGGGGGCAGATACAGATTTTCAGGTTTCTCCAGAAATATTTGATTGGGTTCAAGCCCAGTCTCTGGCTGGGCCACTCAAGGACATTCACAGAGTTGTCTATAAGCCGCTCTTGCTGTGTTTAGGGTCATTATCCTGTTGGAAGGTGAACCTTCTGCCCAGTCTGAGGTTCTGAATGCTCTGGACTGGGTTTTCATGAAGCCTATCTCATTATTTTGGTGCATTGATATTTTCTTCTACTCTGACGAGTCCCTCAGTCCCTGCCGCTGAGAAACAGCCCACAGCATGAGGCTGCTACCAGCACACTTTACTTTTGGGATGGTACTCTGCAGGTGATGAGCGGAGCTGGTTTCCTTCAAACATGATGTTTGGAACTGCACCAATCCCGTTTCTCAGAGTCTGAGAGTCCTTTAGGTGCTTTTTTTGCAAATTCCAAGTGTGTTTTCATGTGTCTTCACTGAGGAGAAGATTGAGTCTGGCCACACCGCCATAAAGCCCAGATCGGTGGAGTGTTGCAGTGATGTTTGTCCTTCTGTAGGTTTCTCATATCTCCACATATGACCATGGAGCTCAACTAGAGTGACCTTCAGCTTCTTGGTCACCAGTCTAACTAAAGCTCTTCTCCATCAGTCGTTCAGTTTGGACAGGAGGCCAACTCTAGGAAGAGTCCTGGGCTGCGTTTCCCAAAAGCATTGCAAGCCTAAGTTGATTGTAGCGCCATTGGTTTCAATGGGTCTACGATGTACTTTTGGGAAACGCTGCCCATGTTGTTTCAAACTTCTTTCATTAAGGGTAACGGAGACTATGTGCTTCTGTGCACCTTCAGTGAAGCAGAATTTTCTCTGAACTCTTCCCCAGATGTGTGGCTTGAGGCAATCCTGTTTCTGAGCTGTACAGGCAGTTTTTTGCTCTGATATGTATTTTCAGCTGTTAGACCTTTTCTTAAGATAAGTGTACCTTTCCAAATCATACCTATTCAGGTTAAATCCGCTCAAGTGTAGTAACATCTACAAGCATTATGAATGCTCCTGAGCTAAATTTCAAGTGTCCCAGAAAAGGAATACTTATGCAATGGAATAATTTCAGTTTTTTATTTCTAATAAATTTGCAAAGTTGCTACAAACCTGTTTTGTGCTTTGTCATTATGGTATATGGAGTGTAGATTGATGTGTAAAAAAGGTAATTTCAAGCAGTTTAACATAAGGCTGCAACACAACAAATCGTGAAAAAGGGGTATGAATACTTCCGCAAAGCACTGTATATATATGAATATATAATTTTTTTTAAATTTATTTATGTCATGCACTTTAAGTACAATTCTTTCCTGTTCATATTTTGTTTTGGTTCAAATCAAAGATCAAACTTTGTAGTTTTGCAATTAATCTCATCCAATTTGATCCCTGTGGACGAACTGAATGGAAAAATACTTTTGGATCCAGTACTGCTGAAAATGGTATTGCTTTTCTCTGCATTTATCTACTGACTTATAAAACCGATGCCATTATCAAATTAAACAAGTTCATTGGAAAATATCAGTTGATCAGTAAAATGATGCTCTGTCAAATCACTGTGTAATGAGGAAAAATAACTCTATGTACTATTGAAGTGTATTCCAGTAACTTCTTATTGGATGTATATCAACAGAATTAACTGGAAACAAAAAATTATACACAATCAAAAAAATATAAAATTTACATTTGGTCGGTCAATGCAGGGAATTATGTCACCTTCATTAAACTGTATTTTTGGAGCTTCAGTTATACACTTTTAACATTGCATATGCACAGTTAATAAGTCCATATCTATAATATGACACATATTTAGTCTCGTGTATTATATTTCAGTACTACTTTTATTCAGCAAGGACACATTCAATTGATCAGAAGTGAGAGCAAAGACATTTATGTTACAGTAGAATTCTATTTCAAATTAATGTTGTTCTTTTGAACTTTCTATTTATAAAAGAATCCTCAAAAAAAAAGGTTCATCGTGGCTTTAATAGAAATAATAGAAATTAATTTGTACTTGTGTTTTTGTGTTTCTGTGAGTGTTTCTGAATGTTCAGGTTTGATCACAGGAATAAATTACATTTTATACTATATTTACATCGAAAACCATTAGTAAAAAAAAAAAAAAACGGCTTTGGTGAGCAGAAGAGACTTCTTTCAAAAACATAAAAAGATCATAATTATTCCAAACTTTGACCAGTAATGTAGTGTAATGCTGATGCCACAACCATATGCAAGCAGTGTTTAAAGCAAGCTAGACAGTCACTGCAACTGACAAAACATTCTCTTTTTTACCCTTAGATTGCCATGATGGCCTTGAACCACAATGCGCTCCTGTCCTCCTCTTCTGTCCTACAAGTCACTCCGTCCTCCAGCCCATTTGTCCTTCCCGGTCCGACGCTGAACATGTCATCGCGGGATCCTTCCAACTTCTCTGGCACGGCTAGTGGTAGCGAGACGATCTTGAGCAACAGTAGCGGAGCGGTCGCTGGCGCAGCGATCCTCGGCCTCGTGTTCCTCCTCGGCGTCCCTGGGAACGTCTTCATCGTCTGGAGCATCTTGGCCCGAGCGCGGCATCGCTCCATCACCACCCTCCTGATCCTGAACCTCGCCTTCGCCGACGGCTTCCTCATGTTGCTGACACCTTTCTTCATGGTTTATTTGTTTCAGCGCAGTTGGATCTTCGGCCTGGTGCTGTGCAAAGTCCTGTTCTACCTCTGCTGCGCCAACATGTACGCTTCCATATTTCTGATCATGCTGATGAGTCTCCACAGGCTGGTGGCGATAGTGTGGCCGAAGCGTGTCGGCGCGCTGACGGACCGCAGGACGCTCACGCAGGTGCTGGCAGGACTCTGGGTGCTCGCTTTGGCACTCTCTGTGCCTGTTTTGGTTTTCAGGACCACCAAAGAGGTCAGCAGAGAGCCTCAGAGTCTCGTGTGTGACTGCCATCACCCACAACCACAATATGTGAGTCAATTCTACATTATTATTTCAGATCAAAACTTATTACATGCACATCAAAGAAAAATAAAGCACAATGAATTGAATGAAGCTCTTCATGAGACTGAAAACTACACACATAATGCACAAACCCTCAGGCCATCCTAGATGTAGATGAGTTTTGTTTCTTCAATTCCTGGAGAAATGTATAATTCCATAATTTGCTTCAATGGATTCCAAACAGCTGATAAAAACATCATAATAATCCACAAGTAATCCACACCACTCCTGTCCATAATCTATAATAACGCTTCCTCCAGTGAAAAAGAGCATCCTCTGTTGTCCTCTCACATCAAAATGGTTGTTTAGAACTGTTTTGGCTTGTAAACATTGCTTGATCTTTGCATATGTCTCTCCTGATTCAGATGAGATTACTTTTTTACTGCATGAAGTAGTATTATGGATTTGTATTTTAGTCAAAGCTATTTTGAAGTAAAAAACAATAAAACATTTGTAATAATAGTTGCAACCTGATATTGCAGTGAGTTGGGATTTGATTTGCATAACATGCATAACAGTTTGAATCTGCTGGTGTAACCTAGGAGTTAATTAAGCCTCAAGCAACATTTACTCATTGTAAGTATCTGTCAGTCCTTGTAGCAGCATCTTTGGCTGCTTCTGTTCTGGGAATGTTTTATCAGGTTTGTACATCTAGACTGTAAAGTTTGGAAGTGCGTTGGTTCAGGAATGTGTGCTATCAGGGTGGCGTGTCCATCAAAACACAGGGGATCCAGTACTCAATCCATGATCTTTATTCATCAACAGAGACATAGGAACCAAACAATAGTTGTACGGTTTCTATAAACAAGAGACAAAGAACAAATCTTAAATATAATTAGCAACATAGGAATTCAAACAATAAGTTACAAATCACTAAACAGTTTAACAAACTCAACCATTTCCTTTACATTACATTACATTATAATGCATTAGCATTGTTTTTTCTCCAATGTCAGTTTGAACCTTCCTGTCTGTAAAGAGCTTATCCATATCATGACATTGTCACGCTGCATGAGGTTCCTGCCACAAATATTGTTTTGTGCCCAAAACATTTGGCAGAGAATTAAATTTTTCTTGTTTGTGATGTGTCCAAAAGCCTTCTGGCAGACATATTTACTATAACAAGATCAAGAACAAAATATCTATATATATCTGTTTGTAAATTTCATGACAGTGTTGTTCATCTGCAGGAGGTGATGCAGTATGGTATGGAAACATTACTGGGCTTCTTGTTGCCATACGGCGTGATCATAGGCAGTTACGTGTGCATCCTGCGCAGAATCCGCAAGACGCGCTTTCACAGACGCATCCGCAGCGAGAAACTCATCCTGGTGATCATCATCACCTTCGGACTGTTCTGGCTACCGTACCACATCATAAACATGGTGCAGGTGTGTGTCTGTCCATCAAACACTCCATTTCTCAAATGTGAAAACAACCTAACCGTGTTTTCCTCCCACAGGTGGCTGCTGCTTTACATCCAGAAGATTCTCCCGCAAAAGAAATGTGAGCAACTTCAAACACTCACACCAGGACCTCAGCAACTCTAAAAGGAAGACCAACCTATGCTTCTCATGCCAGAGTGCAACATCTTTTAAACATATTTAAAATGTTGTAAATTGTGCTCGTTTCCCTTACCTTATTGCATGAAGTGCAATTAACTTTAAAGGGGTCATATGAAGTTGCTAAAAATAACAATCTTTTGTGTATTTGGTGTAATGCAATGTGTTTACGTGGTTTAAGGTTCAAAAACACATTATTTTCCACATACTGTACATTACTGTTTCTCCTCTCAGCCCCACCTTTCTGAAACACGTCGACTTTAAAAAAAGGTCATCGTTCTGAAAAGCGCGGTGTGCTCTGATTGGCTAGCTATCCATTGCGTTGTGATTGGCCGAAGACCTCAAGCGTGTGATGGAAATGTTACGCCCCTTATCATAGGTGGAATATCAGCTTCTATGGCTGCGGCAGCAACAATACTAAGGCCCCGATCAGACCGAATGCATTTTTTAGGTCGGAAAATGCGAGGCGCACCGCACTTCCTTTTTTTTTGGTGACTTTTAAAAAAAGAGCAGTGCACTGCATTTTTTTTTTGCTAGGCAACCACCAAATCAGCTGTCCTGTCAGTGTAATCAAAGGATTAAAGCGCGAGCGCTCTAAAATCTTTGGTTTTTGCTGTAAAGTAAACTGTCATATTAGCAAAAACCTTAAAAAATACAGCTCTGGGTAACCCGCGACAAACACCAAAGTTACAAAGTTTCTCCTCCATCATTGCAGTCTCCGGACTTTCTGAGCAACAGTAAACTTTCGTCACCACAACGGAAGGCCCGCCTCTCCATTCATTTGATTGGACAATGGAAATGGATGAGGGCGTGTTTGAATTAGGCGTTTTGGGTAGGCGTGGATGAGTCTTAACTTTTAGAAAGAATATCTCTTTAGGTTTGAGACTTTAATCTTTGCTACTTTATGGATCTTATAAGTGCACAAACAGCTTGTAACACTCTGAAGACAAAGGAAAACATGAAATTGCATCATATGACCCTTTTAAGTAGCTAATGTTTGAGTAAAATTAACTCCTCTCATTTACTAACTTTGACAAGGAAAGCTATGCTTAAAAATGGTAAACAAATTCTGCTGTAAATGACCTCTAACAAGACAATATTGTCATTAGGCTATACAGTCCAGAAACCCAAAGCAAACTTATAGGTTTTTAAATTGCTTTTATAACGTCTCAGATTTTTATAGTCAAATAAGCGTCAAAACACCTTCCTGTCTTCCTTCGACAGCCTAAAAAAGATCAGGACGAAGCTGCGAGCACTCACCTCTACTGTGGCCTTCGTCAGCAGCTGCATAAACCCCGTGCTTTACACATTCGCCGGGAAGTCGTTCATCCGGCGGGAGGGTCTGGCCTTCATGGCGCGGCTGTTTGAGGGAACGGCGCTGGAAACGTCGCGGAGGATCCGGCGCAGCAACCAGAACAGCCGCGACCGAGAGAAGGAGACCGATGAAGGAGAAAGTCTCAAAGACAAAGACTCAGATTCCACCACCACCACCACCACCGCTAATGCAAACTCGGTTATTAAAGTTGTGCCGCCGAAAAACGGTAAGTGAGCGTCTGGCTGCGGCTCATTATGGGGAACTCAATCTACGGTGAGAGAGCGCTGGACTGTGCGTTGTTCCGGTGTTGCACGGTGTGGTAAAGGTGTGCTTTTCTAACAGATGGAGGTCAATCCAAGTTTATATTTTAAAATAAAAACTGTTTACCAATGGTGTACCCAAAAACAAAAGAGAACAAGAGGCTCATTGTCAAACCATCACCAGACCGAGAACTGAGACGGCCACACGGGTTTTATACATTGACTAATGGGCTAAACAAGGAACAGGTTCTAACTGTTAAAAACATGACAAAGAAAGTTCACAAATCCGACCTGGAATACTCTGCATTTCAGCGCTTTCAAAGAACTGCTTCATGTGTTTGTCCAGTAGAGGGTGTCACGCAGGGCTGTCCTTAGCTGACGTGGGCCCGGTGTGAGGAAGGGAACCCCCCTCGGTCCATTCGCGATCGAGTTCCGGGGTGGGGGGGTCCCCCTTGGTCCGTTCGCCACGGGGCCCCGGTGCGACCGCACTAGTTACACCCCCCTAAGGACGGCCCTGGTGCCACGCAACTGAGAGACAGATGAACCATTCAGGTCATGTCAGAATAAGACCACTTGCATGGATGGGTTCAAAGATTCAAGACTGAAAGGGAAAACGTTGGGTTGACACTGAAAATTAAGAGAGAACCCAGTATCCAAGTCCTGTTTTCTTTCAAAAGAATTTCAATGACTTTTCCATAACATTTCCAGTAGCTCATGATTAATGTTTAAGGATTTTGTTTTGTTTAAAGATTTGTCACATTGCACTCAAATACATATTTACATCTGCATTATTAAAAAAATACATAGAAATTTCCATGACATTTACAGTGAACACGTATGACAGTAAAGGAGGGTGAACCAGGGTATGAGACTTTTTTTGGGCAATGCAACAATGAATGAGGTAAATTAAAGTTTAAGGATTTTTTTGTTTACTTATGTCTGAACCAATGAACAATTGTTGTTATTTACATTTTTTTGTACTACATAATCAGTCATATTAAATGTAATGATTTTGTATTAAAGGTATAGTTCACACAAAAATGAAAATTACCCCATGATTTACTCACTGCAAGGTGTGTATGATTTTCTTCTTTCGAATGCCATCAGAGTTATATTAAAAATGTCATGGCTCTTCAAGCTTTATAATAGCAGTGAATAGTGGTCAACATATTTAAGCAAAATAAATCCATTCATCCATGCATCCATTCATCATAAAATACGCCTATATCATCCGCTGGAATGCCACACTGTCCTGAACGCGCGTACTATAGATTAGAGATTAATCTCATACTAGAGATTATGATTTGTATAGTTTTAAATATGGATATTATTGTTACACAAACATGTCGATCCCACTCTTTAGGCCTTTATTAGGCCTTTATTAACCCCCGGAGCTGTGTGGAGTACTTTTTCTGATGGATGGAAGCACTTTATTTTGCTTCAAAATCTTGACCACAATTCACTGCCTTAATAAAGCTTGGAAGAGCCAGGACATTTTTAATATAACTCTGATTGTATTTGTCTGAAAGATGAAAGTCATATACAAATGGCTTGACGGGGAGTACATCTTGGGGTAATTTTCATCATTGTGTGTGAACGTTCGTGTTTGAGTTTTGGGATTACAGAGAGTTTTAGAGATCAAATTAAAAACTTCAATTATGATCAGTTGAGCATGTGTAAATACCAGCCTTGTGGCTTTAATATATGCCATTCAGTGTGTGTGAACTGATCAGCTGTTTAATAATGTTCAGATTGCACATAAAGAGTAATGATGGACAATGTTAAGAAATGTACATTCTGAAAATGAGGAAATTAAACAATGATCCTCAATAAATCAAGTCTTTCACATCACATTTATCTGTAGAAAATCATATATTTCTGTTAATCATTGTCAATTTGTCATTTGCTGACTTTAAAAGTGGACACTCGGGTGACTTTTTGATCTAATTTACATGTTGACATATTGTTAAGGCCGGTCTTTTTTAATAATATATGCTACGAAAGGAACTAGAAGTGTGAAGTTACCTAAGCAATTAATAATGACGCAACATCTCACTAAAGAGCACGAGGTTTGCGCAAGCAGCGTTGTATGGCTGTGAGGCAGTACTGAACGATACGCCCTTACGAAATTTAACCATGGTTTTACTACAAATAAAAACAAAAAAACATGGTCGCTATAGATAAAATATCTAAATGACTTTTCCTAATCTTTTCTTTAAATAAAATACCATAAAGATGTACTTTATGCAAGTTTTTACCTAAAAAATGTTGTATTTCTGCTTTTATTTCAGGAAAAGTCTAGGCGTTTTTTCAAAAAAAGCCATTTGGAGACTCCAAATGGACACCTGGTGGTAACCAAATGAGTCAACACAACTATTTCTGAACAGCATTTGTATTTTCTTGTGTGTTATGGTGGGCAGAGCAGTTCTGAATTGATATACATATATGCATTATGTAGTTTTGCCTCATTTGGTTACCAGGTGTCCATTTGGAGTCTCCAAATGGCTTTTTTTAAAAAAACGCCTAGACTTTCTTTTAAATAAAAGCTTACAGAAACTACATTTTTGGGAGTATCATCTTCAAATTTGAATCAAAATATGGTCAGACATTCAGCTTTATCTTTATGGTGTTTTCAGGCCAGTAGCATTAAAGCTTCATCCATTTTTCCCTTAGTGAATTTCATTCAAAGATATCGTAAGTCACTTTCATGTACATTTTACCTTGTTTTACTCTGTTGCTATGCTAATTTTGAGTTATTATGACTCCAGAGTAACAAAGGTTCAAGTGTCTAGTTTCAAACAATACCAGATTTATAAATATAGACCATAGGGTTCAAGAGCTACAGACATTTTTATTTGGGTATGTCGTTTTTCAGAAAATGCTCAAAAATAGGGGAGCACAGTAAGTGGTTAAACTATGGAAACCACAAATTAACCATGGTTTTGCTACACTAACCATAGTTTAACAGTACCATTTGTGGTAAAACTGTGGTAATCAATACGCCAAAAAAACATGATTTCTACACTTTTGCTATAATGAAACCATGGTTAATTTGATTGGAATAATATTATATGAGTCTGAATTTGAAATGAAGCTAGAGCCATGTGCTTGCAGTGCACAACTGCATAGTAAACAAAAACCTTGTCTGTTTCATTCAGATCAAAGGATACTCTTCAGATCAGGCAAAAATGCTCCGGCTGGCCCTGCGCAGAAATCACCTGCATTTGGCTAATGTTGCATGTGAACGGCCCACCCTGGTTACAACAGTCTAAGAACTGGAAGCGGTCACACTACCCTATTATGAAAACAACGCGGGGCATGTGGAAATCGAAGTACTACACACACGCATACACTGCAATTATCAGTATGATCACGGGACACGGCTTCCCCATGCAAATAAATTCAAATAAGAGAGAAAAAGTTCGAGAGTTAGAGCACAAAAGAGGAGGACAAAATGCAACAGAAAGAAAAGATACCAAAACAAATGAACCAAGTCACAGCATTTTTTTGTGTGCATGTGAAGTGTTCTTTGCTCTTTCCTGTCTGAGGCAACTGGTTGTTTCTAAAGTGATGTGTGTGAAGAGGAAGCGATGACGTTAAATAGCACCACTACTTAAAAGATGTTAATGATAAGGACACTTCTGATACATTGGGACAAAACTGATTCTACGCTAATGTGCTCGCCTGCAGAAAAGTTTACAAGGAATTGAGGTAAGGCTTTTTGAAGTGCATTCATATTCAGGTGTGTGTGTGTGTGTGTGTGTGTGTGTGTGTGTGTGCACATGTGAGTGTGTCTCTAATTTTAAATCTAAACTAGGGGTTCTACAATACAAAGTCTTTTGGTATTGTTTTATTGAGAGTAAATTGGACTTGGTGACCTTTTTATCTAAACATCTGATCTATAATAGTCAATTTTCACATGATTTTGCTTGAAATGTTTTTAAGAACTTTACAACGTTTAACATTGCTAGATGAGTGAAGGATCTTATCTGTCATAAATGTGTTAAACATGGTTAACACCCTTTCAGCAGGAAACGCTTCATAGAATATAGATGACTAACAGCACAACTAATATAAAAAGACAATTCATGACCTAAACCTATATTACTAACTTTAACCAAAATCGTAGGCTGTTCACAAAAAAAATTCAAGTAGGTCACCGTAAGGATCGGTTTAAAAAAAAAAAATGCAAGAACTGCAACCATAAGCATATTCTGATTAGGCAACGATGTCAGTGTAACAGCTTGTGGTGCGCTTAAAAAAAAAAAACATCCCAGTGCTTCTTCAGGGTTTCGTGCCACGCGTGTCACATTGATATGACCTGTTAAATTAGAGAAGTTAAACTTTGAACAAACAGACTCATGCAGTGTGTCATTGTGCTAGATTTTCTTGAAAGCAAGAGAAAGCGTCAACTGTACGAAGTCGAAAGGGTACATTTTGGGAACTGAAGATTAAGAGGGAACCCAGTATCCAAGTCCTGTTTTCTTTCACATGAATTTCCATGAATTTTCAATAACATTTCCAGTAGTTCATGATTAATGTTTTAGGATTTTTTTTGTTTGTTTTGTTTAATGATTTGACAGATAATCTACAAAAATAAATAAATAAATATTTTGCTCAAATAAATACGTTACAACTGCATTATTAGAACATACATAGACATTTCCATGACATTTCCAGTGAACCTGTAGCCTATGGCAGTAAAAGAAAGTGAATCAGGGCATAATTGAGACTTTCAATTATGCCCTGATTCACTGCAACAATGAATGAGATAAATCAAAGTTTGATGATTATGTGTTTAATTATGTTATTAATTATGTGAAAAACTGTTATTTTCATTCTTTTTTAAAATTAATTATGTACTACTTCATCAGTCATATTAAATGTGATGACTCATGTAACCTATCAAGGGATAGTTCACTCAAATGTGAATGTTCTGTGGCACATAAATATAAAAATCCCAGTCATATAGTGGACTATTTTTTTCTTTTTGTGGATTTACAGAAACCAAAAGGGGAACTGCTCTTTGTGTTGGGCAATGTTACTACTGCGAACACAGCAAAACAAATACTATTTATATAGATGGATAGATAGATGGATGGATGGGTAGATAGATCTGTATAAGCACAAATTGCTTCATTAGCAAAAAGGAAAGTGATCTTGTATTTTCCTCTCTCTGTTTACTTTATCTCCACAGCAAATACAAGAAACAATACCATTAACTTTGAACCAAATGGCCACTCTTGTCCCTACAAATCCCTCAGCCCTATCCGGACCCGCTCAGACCTCCATCATGCCCGCCTCCCTGTCCTCAGCATCCCTGCCCCTGTCCCATCAGATTGGGATTGCTATCTTGGTCATTGCCTTCGTGTTTGGTTTCCCCGGGAACCTGTTCGTGGTTTGGTCGGTTCTGTGTCGAGTGCGTCGGCGCTCCGTCACGTGTCTGCTGATCCTGAATCTGGCCGTGGCGGATGCGCTGGTTCTCCTGAGCGCTCCGCTGTTCCTCCGCTTCCTGGTGAAAGGGCTACACTGGGAGCTTGGGTCCGCCCTGTGTAAGACGGTCCATTACCTGTGCTGCGTCAACATGTACGCATCCATCTACCTGATCTGCCTGATGAGCCTGGACCGCTGGCTGGCCGTCACAAAGCCGTTTCTGTCTCAGAGGTTGAGGACCAAGAAAAGGCTCCTGTCCATCATGTTGGGCATCTGGGTGATGGCTTTTCTGATGGCTTTGCCCATGCCGTTCTATCGGTAAGTTTGAGTGTTACACTGAAACACAAATCACACTTTCTTCAAGCAGTTACATCAGTAACAACCTATTACTATAACTTCATTACATTTGAAAGACAAATATACTTTTCTCTACACTACATTTCTTTTTTTTTTTTTAAGATTTATTTTTGGCGTTTTATGCCTTTTATTTAGACAGGACAGTAG